GGAGCTTGGTCCCAGAGAAGCCCCCTCTGGGGCTGCATCCTGTGAACTGACTGGGCTCCTTCACACAGAGAATCCCGGCCCACCACCACGAGGTCAAGTCACAGGAAGACTTGGGCTTCTCTCTGTCTGTTTCAGAATGTGACCTGGGGTGGCAGGTGACCCCCCTCAGCTGGTCCACCACATGGGGGGGGACCTGGGTGGCGGGGAGGCCACCACTGTCCTGGGTTTGTTTTGGGTTTGCCGGGCCTTTGGCACAGAGAACACGGCCGTTCGCAGATGCCACGGAGGCGCGGCGGTGAGCGTCCAAGCAAGTGCTGGGGACGGGCCCTCCCGTCAGCCTCTGCTGCATCCCCTGGGTGTCACTTTAATGAAGACACTGAGTGAGTGGCGCCGGCAGCTGTCTTCTCCCAGGCAACTTGTCTGCTGCTCCCCTAAACCTCCTGACTCAAGTCAACTCAGTTGTTTGACGAGTCTATGGCCACGGCTGTCCCCGTGGCAAGCTTCGGCGTGTCCGCGCCAGCGTGCCTGTCTCTGGCCTCCAGGAGGGCGGTGCCTCCCCACAGGGGCCCCAGGCCAAGCCAAGGAAATTCACGGTGGACCAGTTAGCCTAGAGGCGACTTTGTCGCCCAAAATAAATCCTTTCGTCTTAATTTTTTTTCTTTTGGTTGAATTAATTTTCACTTGTAGGGATTCTTTATTCTGGATGCAATTTGGTCACAGGTATTGCTATATCTCTCCGATTCTATGTCTCGCTTTTTTACTCCTTTGATGTCCTTGATGGGCAGACTTCTTAGTTTTCCACAGTCCCTCTCTTTCTCTTTATACCTAGCGTTTTTTGTCATCTGTTTAAGAAATTGCTCCCTATTCCAAGGTCATGAATATTTTCTTCGAGGTTACTTTGCAGGCGCTTATTGGTTCACCCTTCAGAGTTCATCTAAAACCATCTAGAATCAATTCTGCGCCTGATGCAACGTCATCGGCATCACATTTTCTGGGTTCCGTGGGATCTTCCCGTTGACCCAGACACATTTATTGGAAACACTGTCCTTATGGCACTTCCTGCTAGTGTCGTCTTTATCAGAAGAGCAAGCCTCCCAGTGTACAGGACACCTGTTTCTGAACTCGCCAATAATCGTGTATAACTTGGTATTTTCTTATATTATTTTCCAATTTCCTTTCTTGGTCTTGGGCATTTTCTGGGTCATCCCAGCTCCCTCTTACTCTTGTTCTTTCTCATCATAAAACAGATTTACAAGGTGCTATCCACTTTATAGCTGCTCTGAAAGGACCAAGCTTATGTTTATACTTTCTCTGGTTTGTTTTCCTGCTTAATTAATTATGTCTTTCATCTTTATACAAGTCTCTCTTCCTCTTTCCTTTGCTGTCCTTTAATTACTCTTTAGTGTCTTCAAACAAGCACTTCACCAAGGGTGCGTTCAAAAAGCCAATCGATAGTTTTCAGGAGACACGAAAGCCAGTTGGTTTTCCAAAGTAACTCAGTGGTTTCCTTTCACCAGCAGTGTTGAGAGAGCCAGCGCTGGCTCACGCACACTGATGCTGTGGAATCCCCTTGTGATTTTATTGTCATGTTCTGGTGACGGTAGAGGCTGAGTACCTTTTTCTTTCCTTTTTTTTTTTTAAAGATTTATTTATTTGTGCATACAGAACTGGGGTACAGGCCAGAGGTGCAGGGGCGGCGAGAGGCTTCACCAGAGACAGAGCGGGGAGCAGAACAGGCAGATAGACAAAGCACACTGCTGAGGGGAGCAGCTGGCGGGTCAGGAGAGGTCTGCCACGCCATGTGGTCACCTACGGGGCAGGTGGGAATCGAACTCATGCGGAAGTGGCTTTAGCTTCTCGGTGCTGTGCTTTAACCCGCTGCGCCACCAGGGAGGGCCAAAGAGACCACATTTTTTAAGGATCTAAAGATATTCAAATACAGGGGGAAATGCAATGTCCTATTCCTTTATAACTGTCCTGTCTGTCACCTCCTGATAGCCAACCCATCCCTGACAAGTTCTAAGTGTGGATTTCATCAAGCTTACAGTGGAGAGGAGCTGTTTGGAGGAGGGTGAGGGTGGCCCAGGAATCCCCAGGAGGACAGCCTTCAGGGACGGCCCTTGGAGAAGGTGGGAGAGGCTGTGGCAGGCCGCTGGCTCGCACTCCCACTCAGGTGCCTTCGGAAGAGCTTAGGCACCCGACACAAAGGGCCTCCCCTCAGGTCTGGCACCAACCGTGTGTCCATTGGGATATAACTGCACTTTCCAGAATCGGTTTCCTCACTGGCAAGAGAGTCAGGGCTGTTGTGGATTTTATGCGAAGCACCTGGCTCAGTGTAATAATGGTTGCCGCTGCTATTTATACTGATAATTATATTGATGTATTAACAGTAGCAGCGCCACCGGTAACAACTTGCTGTCAGAAATGCAGTCACAGATGCCTTCAAAAACAGTCCCCTTCCTGGCCACCAAGGGGCAGGGCTCCTCCGAGGCTGGGCAGCCAGGCCTGAAGGCAGGGCCCTACCTTCTTTATTTTTTTCTGTTGAATCTACGTATGCATGTGTATGTTTCCTTTGTGAATGCTCCATCTCCAGACCCTGGATAAACCCATCAGGCATGTGTTCATGGCACTAAAAGCACTGAGCAAATTTTGTAGAAAGAATTTGTAGGATTTTTAAAAAGTCATCTAAGGAAATACATAGCAGTGGACTTTTTCTTACACTTTTGTGTGTTCTCATTGTGTTTAATCTTACATGAGGAGGGGGGTGGTCTGCAGGGCAGGCACTCACCTAACCCAGGATTCCTGCTTGCCCTGCTAACTCCTCCTTCCCCAACCAGACCAGCAGGCCATGGTAATGAGCCCTCAGGAGCTGAGAAGTGGTTGCCGGAAGCAACCGGGTTTGCAGCTTTAGAGAGGCTTGAGGCAGGTCAGTGAAGTCCTTCCAAATCTGCACCTGTTCAAGTTCTCAGGATTCTAGAGCTGCCCTTCACCGGCTCCTTGCCCCCTCGGCCCCAACTCCCACTCCCTCAAGGGCCCCAGAGGTGGGGGGCGGGGGGACTAGCTCCCCACTCCACCCCCCACCCAGACACAGCGCTTGCTTCCTACCACTTAGCTCCTGGGGCCAATATCTGCCTGAGAGTTTGAGCACATGTCCTTTTTCGTCAGGAGCAATATTGGCGTGCTGCACGCTGCTTGCAAATGAAATATCATGTTGTCACTTTTAACCATCACTTATTCACCAAACAAATAAATATGTATTGATTGTCTTCTGGGTGCAGAGCCAGGGCAAGTTGCATGGTCTGCCTCCGCGCTGCCTGGTAGTTCTTTTAACTGATGTGCAGGAGAGGGGGCTTCATCGACATGACTCTCACTCCAGCTGCCACTTCTTTAATACAATTTTAAATGGGCGAAAACCTGCAGAGGGCCCTGGAGCGCTGCACGGCTGCCGCCTTTAAATCAGAAGGTTCTCGAGGAGATAGTTCCACAAATTCTCTACCTGTGGGCTCCAGGCCAACACGTTGACATTAATTTAGTAGCACAATTACTGAACTAAGATGTGTCATTACCATTTCATTCTCTCCATAAACTGTGTTAATCATGTAGTTTTTTTTCCAGAAAAGTAATTTTTCAATTCAACTTTAATGGCACTTTATAAACGACAGTCACACGTACCCTCGCTCTAACAGTTACACTTTCTGCATCATTTGTTGAGAATGTCTCTGTATTTCCACCGCCTTCCTTGTCCCCGGTTCACACGTCCACAGATGAGAGGAGGCAATCCTGTCAAACAAGCCTTGTCTCAGTCCTCTGGACGGAGCCCTCATCTCCAGCAGAGCCTTGCTTTCTACGCTTTTCCATTCATTCATTCTTTCATGCATTCACTCAACAAATATTTTTCACTGTAGTAACATACCAACAGGCACATCTTAGGTTGCCATGACAACCTGGGTCCCTACACACAGAAATGAATTTTCTCACAGTTCTGGAGGCTGGGGAGGCCCCCCCCCCCACCTTAAGGTGGCCCCGGCCTAAGGCTTCCATCAGAGACCCTCTGCCTATGTAAAACAGAGGTGATACCCCGCCCCACCCCCCAACTCTGAAACTCAGGAGACAGAAACCCTGCTGGTTTCTGAATCACCTTCAGGATTTTCTACTCTCTTCTGAATTCAAAACTGAGTAAGTCGATGGTCTTAACTCTGAGCAGCCTGACAACCTTCTTGCCTTCACTTTCTCTCCTCTTCACTTCGGCCCCCAGCTGGCAGTGTTTCTCAGCCCTGGCCCCCTCCAGACTGGCCCCTCCTGAGGTCATTAAGTCCATCGACTGCACCTATGATCTCCTTATCAAGTGGTTGTTCAGACATATCCTCAGGGTTCTCTTCAGAACCTTTCCTTTGTTTGCAATACAGATAACCTCAAAGTTTTCCAAACCCTTAAGTTACAGTTCCCCTGCTGCTTAACAATTCCGTGTTTTACTGTAAGCATTCGAGATACGTCACTCCTTCTGCACTCTACTCTTACAAATCTCAATTAAACATCCATTCACAAGCTAAATATTCCACAAAAGACTAGTTCAGCTGAATTTTTCGTGACATTACAACAACGGCTGCCTTTCCAATTTCAGAGTCTAATTCCCACCTGAGATTCCACCAGAATCACCCTTCACATTCACGTTTCTATACACATTTCAAAAATCTTCACCTGTTCCAGTCTCCCACCTGCACAGGTATTGACTTCAGCAGCACCCCACTTCTAAGCATGAATCAGGGTTCTCCAGGGAAACAAAGAAACCGACTCACATGAACCTGGCGCGTGGGACATCCCAGCGTCTGCAATCAGCAGGCTAGAGACCCGTGAGAATCCATGGCTTAGGTCCAGTCTAAGTCCAAAGGTCTGAGAACCAGGAGAAGCCCAAAGCCAGCAGGCCGAAGACCTACAAAGAGGTAGTGCCTCTATTTGAATCTAAAGGCAGGAAAAGGCTGAGTCCCAGCTGAGAACAATCAGCGAGCGGAGCAGCAGAGCTAACTTGGGGCAGCAGTGTTGACCAATTTGGCGGGTCCTCACCTGTGTTTACAGCTGCTTGTTACCACTCAAAAGCAGGCCCCAGGGGAGAAACAACAGGGCAGGATTGTTGACATAGGGAGAGAGAATAGAGAGAGCTAGAGGACATAAAAGGGAGAAACTGCGAGCTTGCTCATGGCCAGATGACTTCTGTCTTACCCCAGATAGTGTCTGCTGACCAGAAACCTCGGTCCAGGCCAAAGCTGCACGTGGCAAGCTGGCAGCTTCTCCACAGCACCCCTACTCCACAGCCAATTAACTGACAAAGCCCAGGCCTGTCCTCTGTTTCCATCACGCTGCAGGCTGTCAGGGGGTGGAGTCTGGAAAGCTCCACCCTCACCTGGAGTTGGCGTTGAGCGCCACCTACCGTTCAGAGGCTGCTTCTCACCTTCCTCTTCTGCAAGGGCCCCTCTAACTCAGCCTCTTGTTCTGTTGAGGGCTTCCATTGCTTGATGCTACACACCTGAGGGACAGCAATCTGCTCCTCTCGGTCTGCTGCTCAAACGTTCATCTCATCCAGAAACATCCTCACAGCAATACCAGGAACAGCGATTCGTCCACTGTCTGGGTACCCTGTGGCCCGGTCAGGTTGACAGCTGAAACGAACCATCACATTTATGTTTAAGACATTTCCTTCCCTGGAAAAGCTTACAAATTAGTGTCTGAGATTGACTAGAGACAAGGAAGAAGAAGACAGCTGCTGTAATGAAGGCAAAGGAATGTGTTAAAGGAGAGTAAAGAAAGAATCTATTAATTTTGCTGTGGTAGATCAAAAGGCTTCGTGCAAGGGCTGCCAGCCTTGAGTGGAGTGGGATTTGGCTAACTGGTGATAAAGGAGAGGAGGGAACAATAAATCGTAGGTGCAAGATGAACAGGAAGATGAAGAGGCACATTGTAAGTGCCTGGTAATCACTGTGGCTGGGATGTTAGATACCAGCCGGTCAAGTGAAAATAATTGAAAAGCAAATCAAATACTTAAAACAGCGTTCGATAAAAGCCAAGGCAGGCCCTCCCTGGTGGCGCAACGGGTTAAAGCGCAGCACTGGGAAGCTGGGCGCAGCCGCCTCAGCATGAGTTCAATCCCCGGAGGTGACCCACAGGGCGCGCCTGACCTCTCCTGACCCCCCCGCTGCTCCCCTCAGCAGTGTACTCAGTTGGCCTGTTCTGCTCCCTGCTCTGTCTCTGGTGGATCCTCTCTCACACACACCCCCACCCCCCGCACCTCTGCCTGTACCCCAGTTCTGTATGCATCAATAAATAAATCTTTAAAGACAAGAAGAGCAAGAACTGGGGGGGGCGGGGGGGGGTTTGCGCTGATCCTGAACAGCAACACTGCACATAGCTCCTTCCGTCACGTCCGGCCAAGTCTCCCACGCCAGTGGCCCGGCGCAGCAGTGGCTCGGCTTTGTCCTCTTCCTCATGAGGAAGTCTCCAAGCACCCTCCCACCCAAGGTGGTTTTGGTTTCTGTCTCTATTATACTGAGAATTGTTTCCTGCTCTAATGTGAATCCACCTAGCTCCATCCCTCATCCATCATCCTTCTCTACTTGAGGAAGGCCTGGGGCCCACGAGGCAGCTCCCACGCCTTCATGCCGGAGGAGGCGAGATCCAGGCTCGCTGAAGAGAAGCATTTCCCTTCCCCTTCAGAATACCCGCCTCTTACAGAGCAGCCATCTCTTGCATTTGAAAAAGAGCAAGCATGTTTTGCTCCCATCTTTTTCCAGGAAAGCAGAAAATCAGTAAATTGCTGGGTCTATGAAAGGGTGTCAGGGTGCATGAGGCTGGAACGCTCGCGAGAAGAGCTTTTATCTCTGGGACACCGACTGGGCGCCAGGCAATGGGTGTTTAGCTTGAAGGCCGCGCTGGTTAATCGAACGTTACTCCACAGCCCTTGGGAGACATGGAAGATCGGCGATTAGGAAAAGGACACTTGGCAACCGCTCCACTGCCCACCTGAGCCCACGCAGGGGCTCCTTTCCATCCGCTCTCTCCTCTGCTGGGCAGCAGCCTCCTGCCGGCCCGTGACCCGCACCATGCCAGGACTTCTCTGCACTGACCTCCCTCAGGGGAGGCCTCTCTCCTAAGCCGCCTGCCTGCAAATGTGCAGGTCTCTTTCCCTGCCAACCTGTCCCTTTGGGGGCAGCTCTTCCTGCCCACTTGTGTCTATGCAAGTGTCTTTTCTCCCCTGTCTCTTTCTAATAAACTTCCTCTTTAAATAACAAAAAAAAAAAAAAAACACAACCCTGACACATTCAGAATATACTTTGAGACCCACCTGAAAGAGAAATGCATGGACAGTGGGTTGGCTGGAGGCAAGTTTCAGAAGCAGGGATACGCTAAGGAAGCTGCGAAGTCCAGCCCAGAGCACCCGGGGCTACTGATAGTGGGCTTTGGGCAATAATGAGGTATTATTATTGCCTCCAGTGCAGAAGGGAAAGCTGGTCAGTGCTTCACAGGCTGCAGGGAATATCAGGGATGTAAGGGATGGGTGCAGTGAACCCCCCGGTACCCTCAGTGAGATTTCCACAGAGGGATATTTGGAGAATCCGGTTAACTAAGAATAACTCCGTAAATGTATAATTGTTTACAAATAAAGCTCACATCCATCTGATTTTGTCCTCCCAAGAGCCTTTACAGGGAAGACTCGTTTTTCTGAGTCCAGAGAGGTTACGTGACTGTCCAAAGTCACGCCTGTCCCATGACACTCTAGGACTCGAATTCTCCTCTTCAAACCCCAAGTCCAGTACGTCCTCTTCTTGAGTTTTTCACGGTGTAGGGAACCGGGTCTCAAAGAATGAACGTGCATGACAAGTCTGTTGCGTCTTCTTGTTCTTTCGTTCCTTCTTCTATCAGTCATCTTCTTTTACGCATCTGCTATTCCCCTGTGCTTCCAATTGATGCCAGAAGTCTCTGGCTCTTAGTAACAGAGGGTTGAAGGCTGAAGTCCTGAGGCTCCCCTTGGCATTGACCCTTGCTCCCTGAATTGCAGGAAGACACTCCATCTCAGTCACTACTCTCACCTCAGCTGGGAACATCGGGGAGGATGGAACCCTGAGCTGCACTTTTGAACCTGACATCAAACTTTCTGATATCGTGATACAGTGGCTGAAGGAAGGTGTTCTGGGCCTGGTCCATGAGTTCAAAGAAGGCAAAGATGACCTGTCAGACCAGGATGAAATGTTCCGGGGCCGGACAGCAGTGTTTGCTGACCAGGTAGTAGTAGGCAATGCCTCTCTGAGGCTGAAAAACGTGCAACTCACAGATGCTGGCACCTATAAATGTCACATCATCACCTCTAAAGGCAAGGGGAATGCCAACCTAGAGTATAGAACTGGAGGTGAGTTACATGTGGAGAGTGGGGAAATGGTGCTGAGAGGTGCTTGGGACTTAAGGGCCCGGACTGCTGATGACACACGTGACCTGCTCGCGTCTGAGCGACCCACATCAGAACAAAGCCCTCCAATTCCACTGGCAGCCACCCTTAATCTAGAACTCACGCCAGCCCCTAGGTAGCCCAGCGTAATAGCAGGTCTTTCGCTCTGGACTCTCACCTCTTGTAAGTTTCCACTGTAGTCCCTGAACTATTTTGCCAAAGCAAATGTAGTCTTTCCTCTGGTGGCAGTAAAAGAACCCTGTGACCTGTCAGGGACTTTTCTGTGCCAAGTTGATCTGACCCAACTCTCACTTTAGTCCCTCCAGGGACTCATGACAGTCTCTACTTTAGCAGAAGGACAAAGGGAACTAACCAAAATAACACTGCCCTGGACACGCACTAATTCTCACCTGGTGAAACCCACACTTCCTCACCAATGCAGCTTCACATATGTTTTTCTGACTGTACAGACAATGGACTGAGATTGGTCCTGGGAAGAGTAAACATATGCTTGAGAAGATGACGATTGTCCTTCCTCTGGTAGAACTCATGGTCTAGAGCTTATGGAGTGGATGGTCAGGACAGGGAAAGAAAAATATTTAACTGTCTATAAATAACTGGTAATGTACATCAGACACTTAGACAGGAATGTAAGTCACAGTGGCCTGGGGCTTCAGAGGAAGCGACTGATCCCATGGAGAGTTTGGCATTTGAGAGGCGCAGACAACCCACTGGGGAAATACCGGGTCACCTCCAAGGCTAAACTGCAGGAAGTAACATCTGCCCTTCGTGACCTTCGGCCCGCAGCCTTCAGCATCCCAGAGGTGAACGTGGACTACAATGCCAGCTCCGAGAGCTTGCGCTGCGAGGCCCCCCGCTGGTTCCCCCAGCCCACCGTGGTCTGGGCGTCTCAAGTGGACCAGGGCGCCAACTTCTCAGAAGTCTCCAACACTAGCTTCGAACTGAACTCCGAGAACGTGACCATGAAGGTGGTGTCGGTGCTGTACAACGTCACCATCAACAACACCTACTCCTGCATGATTGAGAACGACATTGCCAAAGCCACCGGAGATATCAAAGTGACAGGTACATCCTCCCCACCCTGGAAGGGCTCCCCGGGGCGAGAAGAAAACGAGTTAAAAATCTGATTTCTTTAGCAGCTATATTATGTGCCAGGGTGCAGAAAGATCTAGAGCCCTCCCTGAGGCCTTGATCATAACAGCAGGTGGAATTAACATCACATGAGATGGTTAACACAAAACCCCAATGTTTTATGTTCCGAGAGAGCAGCTAGGCTGCTTGCATGTCCTCTAGCTCCCTGGAGCATGTGTGTGCAGGTGTGTGCAGGTGTGTGCAGGTGTGTGCAGGTGCACGCAGGATGCTGAAGCCCTCTCCAATTCAGCAGGTCTGCTTGGGGACGCAGCGGGAACATGACGACTTTTGCATGTCCTGATTCAAATGCTTTTCGTGGCCTGTAACAGAAAACCAACTCAAAGAAGGCTAAGTGAACGAGGGGACTTGTTTAGGAGGGCCAGGTAGGACTAATGTAGCTAAGGGAAATATGGAGACTTCAAGCCGGGAATTTTTTTTTTTAAAGATTTATTTATTTGTGCATACAGAACTGGGGTACAGGCCAGAGACTCAGGGGCGGCAAGAGGCTTCACCAGAGACACAGTGGGGAGCCACGAAGTACACTGCTGAGGGGAGCAGCGGGCGGGTCAGGAGAGGTCTGCCGCGCCCTGTGGTCACCTCTGGGGCAGGCGGGGCTTGAACTCATGCGGAAGCGGCTTCAGCTTCCCAGTGCTGCACTTTAACCTGCTGCGCCACCAGGGAGGCCTCAAGCAGGGTTTTAAAGAAGAATGTTTCTGACCAAATAGAAAGGCCTGAGGTGAGGTGCTCATGCCACCCCAGCAGTCCAAAGAGAGGGAGTGTGAGGCCTGACGGGGAGGCACAACAGGAAGGGAAGGAGGGAGAATCAAAAGCTAGTGAGGAAAAAACTGTCTGGGTCGTGACACAGACCGGAAGGACACGAGATAGGCTGACCCCGCACCCGCTGGCCACTGCCCGCGGTCACTGAGGAGTTCGTGACAGACACCACCACCAAGAGGGGGAACCCCAGGCTGGGGGAGCAGTAAGGGGCTTCGAGACGCTGCGATGCAAATGCCCTTTCAGTGCATGGGTAGGCGCCACCCCAAGCAGAGGAGGTTTGGGGAGAAGGCTGCGTGCCTGTACCCCGGATTTCCTTCCCTGAGAAGGGCTCCCGGCTGTGACCCCGCCACGTCTCCTCACCATCCTCCCTCGCTCCTCCCCAGAGGAGCACACATTAACTCAGCTCATGGGTGAGTTTACTAGAAGAAACTGGAAATCCTCTCTCTAGCCTCAGGCGGTGGGCATCTCCTCTGCTCCTCAGAGGCGGAATCTGCCCCTGCTGAGTCAGCGCTGGTCCCGTTGTCCAGCCGCCGCCCGCCTGCCCGAGGACTGAGCCTCAACTTGCCAGCCGGCTTCATCCGTGATCAAGATCGCCTGGCCAGTTGCCTGGGCTTGTTAACTGAGTCAGAACCCTCCTGGGGCAGAGAGTTTCTTGGGCGCCTTTGAACAACAGAGAACTCAAAAATATTTCCTGAATAATTATGTTTTCAACTGGCACAGACAGTAGCAATGGCAGATTGAGACGTGGCGCTCAGGTCAGAGGTCAAGCGAAGGAAGTGGACTTGGATGACCCGCGCGGTGGAAGTCAGTGCTTGGCAGGCTGACGGGGTCCCATTGCTGGGCTTTTATCGATAGTGCTTCCAGGGGCTGACTCTGCCTTAGCACTTTATAGGCGTTAACTCACGAATCCTTTCAAGAATCCTGGGGAAAAAATCATGTTAGGCTTATTTGAGCACGTCCAGGCTGGCGAGCAACTTTCAAAAGGTCACATGGCTAAAGAGGGCCGTGGACCTGACACTGAATCCTCCTGTGGGAGGTCGGGGAGGCAGAGTAAAAGGAAAGACAAGCAGCGCCATGTCTTCACTCCTGCCTCTCTCTGCTTCAGAATGAGAGCCACACCTCGCCTTCACTGTCTAGGGGGGTGATGGAGCAATGACTTAGACTCAGTGCCGGTCATTGCCGACCGGGGAAAATGTGTCTCTGGGCCCAAGGGCTCAGCCTGGCCAGCAGTTCTTTACTCCATCACCGGGAACAGAGCGCGGCCTGGTGCTTCACCTGGCTGAGTGTCTCCTGGAAGGGACGACGGCAGGGGAGGTCTCTGGCCGATGTTGGTAAGCTACATACAGGAAGGTGGAGGGTGGGGGCACAAAATCACCCCAAAGCGGGGTCCAGCTGTATCAGGAACACTTGTTCTGTTCTTCAGGTGCTTCTGTGTGCCCACCTGCCCCGTGAGGCAAACATCCAGCGTTTGCCCGGGACCCTGAGCTTCCGTTTGTCCCTCTGCAGAGTCTGAGATTAAAAGGCGTAGCCACCTACAGCTGCTGAACTCAAAGGCCCCCCGGCATGCCCCTTCTTTTCTTGCCACCGCCTGGGCGCTCCTGCCTCTGTGCCTGTACCTGACGCCAAAGTAACACGCGGCGGCCACACAGCAACACGCTGGGTCAGCGGCGGGACAGGTGAGCTGGGTCCAGCAGGGCGGGGCCCTTGGGCGGCCGCCTCCGAGGTGCTGCAGGGCCTTGGCTCTTTGGGAAATAGGACTGGTGGAGGTGCCAGTCCTGCAGGTGCCCGGCAAGAATTCGTTAAAGCTTCTGCAACTCGGCAGGAGACACTGACCTTCAGCGCAGGTCCCACGCAGCGCAAGTAAAGGAATATTTAGCTAAGCGCGTTCTTGCTTTGCTCTTGTTTCCGTGAGTCACTCCACTGCTCACACTCACAAGTTCTTGTGCCTGTGACCACTTCACACTGGATGACCATTCCTTAGCCTCGAGGGCTGGCCACCTGGTGGATTTGTCAGGGGTGAAAACTGTACGTCATCTCCAGTTCATACTGGGGAGGGTTTCTTCTCTGTCCCCGTCTGAGCGTGGGCAGGTGACCTTGCCTCCAATGTCCAGTCCGACTTGATGGCCGCGGTCCGAGTTGACGTCCAGTGTCACGGGGGTTTTCTAAACCTTGTGGGCTGGGACTCCTGCCGCACACGCTATCCCAGCAAGAGCCAAACAGCCTCTGGCATGAGCCTCCGAAACCGTTAATAACTCAGAGGCGCAGCACCGTCCCCACGGGGGGTGGTGGGAGAGGTGTAAGCCTTTGTTGTCAGAGTGGAGGCGCCATGGACAGGCTTACAGGACACTGACTCTCTGCAGTTCCAGTATCTGTGTAAATTCTAACACCTTTTCATTTACTGAATCATCCACGAAGGCAAAAATATCCTGCTGAAGAGAAAGAGATGCTGAGCCCTGACTAGTGACTGGATTTCTCTGTCACCCATGAAGCGCCATGACAGGCTCATAGTCACCCCCCTAAGTGACCTCTTCTCGCCCCCCTCCAAAGCCCGTGTCCAGGGCTTGACAGGTGACTCGGCCACCTGTCCTCCTCGACACCTGGACTCTGACTCCGATTTCTGACTATTCTGCACAACTGAGCTCACCAAGTGCCACGTCCCTCAGCTATTCCCAATCCCCCCGGCCTTCCTGCCCTTTGCCATGAACTCTGTAGCCTTTCCTCGTGCTCTCCTCAGACCGTCCTTAGTCCTTCTCACCATCTCACACCAGGACGGGCTGCAAAACCTTGAACTTGCTCCTCCCTCTCCCTATTCCAGGTGACAGAAAGCAAGTGCCAGACAATTATTCCAGCATTCCCTTCGCTCCGAAACTCACGTGACTCTGGCACGTGACTCTATCGCAAAGTTGAAGTCCCCAGCCACAGGGTCACAGCTCGCTACGGGTCCTCCCAGCCTCCCCCACCTCTGCGCCCTGCTTCCTTCAGCCACTGCTGCTACTGCCCGGCCTTGCTGTTCCTCTCTCACTGCCCCTTCCGCAAACCTCTACTCTGTGGTCAAGACCATACCCCTTCATCTGTTTCAAGTGCCTTCTAGCTCTAGAAGCTTCTCTGACGACCCTTCCATTTGCACCCTTGGCAGGCATGCATAACTGACGATCTCTTACGCAGTGCAGGCACAGCCATTCTGACTGCTGTGAAGCGTATCCCAGGCGCACAAAGATCTCCTGGCCTGCTCTTCCCTCCCCTGTGCTCCCGACTCCTACTACCACACAGGGCACAAAACAGATGCTTGGTGAGATGCCACCATCATTTCCAGCCTCCACTGCTGTCAGTGGAGACCCTTGAGGGCCTTGCTAGCTGGAGAAGGAAGCTTTTCTTCTTTCTGATTCCCTGTGAAACTGTAACTGAGAGTGTAATAACCTGCAACTAGAATGTGTCACGTCTAAAGTCAAGCTTATCACCTTTACCTTATATTCCCCAAGAGCAGGATTCTGCAGCCTTTTCTACAAAATCAAAGCCACGATGTCCACCTAACAGCTGGCCACTTGCAGTAGACACAGGGTCAGATGCTTTTAGCAATAGCCAATACCCACTCCTGGCCCTGTGACGGATAACCTTCCATCAAATCAATTTCTTCAACCAAATGAACAGATCACGACTTGAGACACACATTCTAACTGATGATGATATTTTAGGTCACACGCATTTCCCCTGGGGGACACTCAGACAGAAGTCACCTTCTAATGCTACCCAGGAGCCTGCCCTGAGTCACCCTGCTCTTGTTGGCTGAGCTGAGCATCTCTCCTTAGGAGACACTCAGGCAGTCGCCTTCCCTCGCATGGGACCACGGGGCCAGATACAGCATCACAAGACACGCAAGAGCAAATCTGATCTGAAGAAGATATAGTTGTTCGCATCAGGGAGACTCAGTTCTCAGCACTGTTTTATATCAGCAGTTATGTCTGTCAGGTGGCTGTAATGGGGGTCTCGTTGTTATTTTCAGAATCCCAGGAATCTACGGAACTATCGCGCCACAACAGCTGACGTACTTTGATATTTCTGGGGGCCAGTGACTTCATTCTAGGAGTCTGGAGTAAACAAATAAGATCAAGATGCTCCAGGACGCCAACAGCAGCCCACAGAAGACTCCAGAATGAACAAGACACATCTATCTCCAGAGACATATATTAAGCGCCGGCTGAAAGGATACACTTAAACTGCAGGACTGTGTCAAGACCGCCGAGTAAAATGACGCCCAGACACAAGTGTGTCCCCTATCTCAGGGACTCCCCCCCACCCCGGCCCACCAGGAGTAAGCAGGTGGGACAGCACCTCTCCCTTGCCACCAAATGCTTAGTTTATTGCTGTTATGATGCTTTCAGGAAGTTCCCAGGTTTTTATTGTGATATATCCATATTTTTAAAACCACAAATTAAACTGTACAGGATGCTGCAAGAATCTGTTGATGAGCTGTCATTTCACACCCAGAGATGGCTCTATGTTAGTGACGGGTAAAGTGGTTCGCTTTTCCTGATGAAGCTTCCGGAAGGGCCTTGGCCTCTTCCCCACCTGACAAATGCTAAAGAGATGTGAAAAATCATCATGACTTCCACTTAAAAAACGTGGTTAGATGATACTGATGTTCCAGATTATGGGAGCACTTTCCATGTAAAACAAACAAGTGTCACCTGACTTCTCAGGCGACATCCATCCTCAGAGGGAGTCAGGAGGGCTCAGATGGCATCGTGGCATCACAGTGTGAGGCCTCCGCCAGAGCAGTGGGACTCAGCCCCTGGACGTTGCGCCCCCCCCACCCCGGGGTGGAAATGTCTGGAGGCATTTTAGTTGCTACCACTCTGGGGCATCTGGTGGCTGGAACCCCGCTCAACACACTGTCCAGACACTCCCCCAGCAAAGAATCACGTCGAAGGTTAGTCCAATCCGCTGCGTTCAGTTAAGAAAAGCTGGTTTAGAGCAGAAAGGGACCCAGACAGGGTGAGCAGGGGCAAACAAACTTTGTTCCCTAAAAGCCGCACTAGCCTGGCTCCTCACAGCTGCACAGCACAGGAAACCAAATGCCATTTGGGGCAACCAGGAGCTTGGTGGATTTCCGGCCGCTGGCTGGCTCGGTGGTGCTTCCCCTCGGCTGGACCCTGCAGCTTCTGTAGACCTGCCCGGGTTCTGTGTCCAGTTCTCTCGCCCTAAATGTAGGGCCCGGCCAGGGTCTCCTTGTGGCCCTCCCCCTCCAAAATTCAGAGAAAGGCAACAAAGACCTGCACTTCCTTGGGCACAGAGGCCCCGAGGCCGAGGCAGCGGCCGAGGCCAGCCTGGGGGGCTTTGCTGTGGGCAGTGCCAGTGCTGCTGCCAGCCCCTGCCCGGTTCCCCCACCCACCGCGACACGGTCAGAGGAGACGTGACTGCAGAGATCTCAGTGTCGAAGAGGGCAGTTAAATCCCCGTCTCCTAGGCTGCCATCTGCCCGGTTGGCAAAGCAAGTGTGAGGGGCGGTGGGTTACATTCAGAGGCCAGGCCCTGATGCCACTCGGCCTCCGACAGGCTTCGGCAACTGTTTTGTCCAACGAATGCGGGCGGTGGACACCTGTGAGGCTGGCTGGGAGCTGGGTCATTTTCTTTTAAAAAAAAATAATAGTTTATTTTTCTATCATTTTGCACCTTTTTTCATCTCAGTTGTAACCTCCATGGGCTTCCCATCACCAAATCACCCTGTGCCATCACCACAGTCCAGTGCACTCCCTCCCTCCCCAAGCCCCCATTTTTGATCCCATTCCCCACCCACCCCCATGAAATGTCTCTGGTCTAGAGCTGCTCATTATTATTGCTATTTTCTCGCCTGGTCTGTTATACTCCTGCTATGAGTGAAACCATCATTTTTCCTCTTCTTTCCGGCTTATTTCACTAAGCATGATCTTCTCCAGCTCCATCCATGTTGCTGCAAAAGGCATGTGTTTTTGTTGTTTTTATTTTTATTTTTGGGTTGCTGAATAATATTCCAGTGTGTATATGTACCACATCTTTATAATCCAGTCATCTACTTTTGGGCATTTGGGCTGTTTCCATGCCTTTCCAATTGTAAATAAAGCAGCAATAAACATGGGGGTGCAGGTATCTTTTTGAATCAGTGTTTTGTGTCTTTTGGGTAGATACCTAGGAGTAGGGAAGCTCCATGTTTAGCAGTTTGAGGAACCTCCATACAGTTTTCCATAGTGGTTGTACTAGTTAACATTCCCACCAGCAGTGCAGGAGAGTTCTTTTTTCTCCACATTCTCGCCAACATTTGTTGTTGCTAGTTGTTTGAAGATGTGCCATTCTCACTGGGGTGAGGTGGTATCTCATGTGGTTTTAATTTGCGTCTTCCTTATTACAAGTGATGTTGAACATTTGTTCAAATGCTTGTTGGCCATCTGTATTTCCTCGTTGGAGAAGTGTCTTTTTAATTCTGGGAGCTGGGTCATTTTTAAGGACAGTCCACTAGATTTTACCAGCGTGGTGTGCCTGGGATGCCGTGTGGCAGTAACAGGTTTGGACAGGTAAAAGTGGAAGACTACTTCTAGGTGCACAAAGCCATCACTCCAGTGTCAACCAAATCTGACTTTCATCAAATTTTCAAGTCTTAGAAGTAAAAGAAACTCTAGGCCTTTCACTTCACATGAAGACCCAGAAACGCGGGGTAAAGTGTGGGGAATTGGCTGTCCTTGGGCTACACAACTTGCTAAAAGTGACACTGGTAATTAGGTGAAGGGATAAATGCCGCAGAAAGTTTAATTGCGGGGGCCTCCCTGTGGCCCGGGGCTAAGTCTCAGCCTACCAAGCCACCTCTGTGGCATGAGGTTGATCCCCAGCCAGGGAGGTGACCCACAGGGTGCAGCAGACCTCTCCTGTCTCCCCGCTGCTCCCTCAGTGAATTTCAGTGGAGTTGCCTGTTTTGCTCCCCGCTCTGTCTCTGGTGCATCCTCTCACCCCCTACACCTCTGACCTACACCCAAGTTCTTGTATGCATAAGTAAGTAAAATAAATCTTTAAAAAATATATTCAGGGCCCTCCCTGGTGGCACAACTGGTTAACACTGCAGCACGAGTTCAATACCTGGCCAGGGAGCTGGCCCACATGGCGTAGCAGACCTCTCCTGACCCGCCCGCTGCTCCCCTCAGCAGTGCACTTTGTCAGTCGGCCTGTTCTGCTCCCCACTGTCTCTGGTGAATCTCTCACCACCACACCTCTGGCTGCACCCCAGTTCTGTTCTGGCTGCACCCCAGTTCTGCGAGTATAAGCGATTGCTTTATAACAACGCCCTGCTGCATTCCCAGTCTCAACAGCCTTTGGCAAGAAGAACCCAATGGTGAAGCTAACTGTGAAAGCAGAAACACAGTCTTAACCTTGACTTTGACTTTGACCTGAACTATCCAGGTTAATTCCTTGGCCTTGTCCATGAGCCCACAGCAAATACATTAACCAACAAAGGTGCCCTGTCAGCTGAAGTATGAGAACCAGAGTGAGATGCGGCTCAGACATCTGGGGAAAGTCAAATCTAGAAGCTAAAACCTAAAACATTTCAGAAGCATTAACACACCGGAGAGAACAAACAAGCCAAACCTCAAGGTAAAGTGTCAGCTGCCAGACCGAACCCAGACTGGAGTGTATATAATGCATGGTGAGCCCCATCTACGCTTTGGTTATGGGGTGGGGGTCAGGGTCCTTCATGGTCCCCCATAAAAAGCGCTGCCATGTTGTCTGGCTGTAATCGCCTGCGGCTGCATGCCTCATACCACCACCAGCGGCTTAAACAATAGGATTTATGTTTGCACAATTCTGGGGGCTGGAAGCCCAAGGTCAAGGTGTTAGGGGGTCGGTTTCTCCTGAGGCTTCTCTTCTTGACTAGCAGAGGGCCACCTGGGCACTGTGTCTCACAGGATCTTTTCTCTCTGCACATACAACTGGAGGTCACTCCCCCTTCTGAGGTCACATTGGGTTAAACCCCAACCACATGACCCCATTTACCCTGAATACCTATTTACTGGCCTTTTCCAAATACAATCTCATTTTGAGGTACACTGACATGGGGGAGGGATGGCACAAGTCATTGCACACTACAAGAGGGCGCTCATGAAAGTCAGCTATGGCTAAGCACCTGTGTTGGGCACAGCGAGCGAGTGTGACGGCAGCCAGGACAGGAGAGATAGGAGCAACTTTGCCTGCTCCCCCTATTTGACCAAGAATACTCGGTGAATGTTTAAACAGTTGGGGCGCAACAGAAAGCCTCATCTAAATAGCTGCGATTCCATCCAGGTCAGAGGCGCCTCGAAGACTCGAGAGCGCGCTGC